GCAATTATTTATCAAATACATCAACAGTTACTTACATCTTTTTTCACAAGACAAATCTTCCCAACCAAATAAACATAACATCAACTAAGCAAACGTGCATTGCACGTTGCTTCTAACTAGTTAATTAATAAGTTACAAAATGTGACTAACTGATTTTTAAAAGTTTTACAAAAGTATATCTTGGAAACCTTTTTAATAATGTATTTTTCACTATAGTTAGCCAAAATGGAGCACAATAATAGAGAGGAGCGCAGCTTATCAAACGACAAACACAACGAGACGCGCAAGTTAGCACTCGTTCCACTGCGCAAATTAGAACTTAGCAGTCGTCTCAAACCGGCCATTTTTGTTGCTAGGGCTTCAAATAATAAAATTGAGGGTAGATTTTGGATCAATTATTATTCGGACTTCAGTTCTGGGATATTCAACCAAACCAGTTAGAAGGGACAATTCCCAATAGTATTTTAGGTTTTAGGGCATTAGACATACGTATAGTTGTAGAGAAATTGGATTTGGACATCTTCTGCAAATGGTTAGAATCAATGCCCACCAGGAGGAGGATGAAGGAACTCCCGATAGCTCTTCCCCCGGAGGTACGTGTGTTTAGGTGTGTAATTGCATGTATGTGTTGTTATTAAAGTTTTTGAACTTTTAATTGGGCAGGAAAGAGTGAGAGGAAAAGAGATGATAAGAAAGTGAATGCTTTAAGGTCGAAACATTCAGAGACGGAGCAACGTAGGAGAAGCAAGATTAATGAAAGGCAGTTTTTCTTCCTGTTCTTTTCCGTTTCAGTTACTCTGTCTTCGGTGTTGTTTAATTGTGGGAGTTTGATGTGTGTTATGTTACTATTTATATATGTCAAAATAAATATTGCGTTAGTATTTCTTCAAAAAATTTAACTGTGGCGAATTTCACGCCACGAAGTGCAGAATTCATTTTTTCTTTTTGGAAATTGGAAATGTGTTATTTTGGGTATTGGAAATCTGATTTTTGAATTAGAGTGAGCTTGAGCACTATGCAGTCATTACTTTCAGCTTAAATATTTCAAAATGACTAATAAGTTTCATTTCAAATCCTTTTATGGATGGCGGAAAGTGAATAAAATTATACGTGTTGCAGATTTCAAATTTTAATGGAGTTAATACCAGAAAGTGATCAGAAGAGAGATAAAGCTTCGTTTTTGTTGGAGGTTTGTTATTCCACTTAGTGCCTTAAATCCTTTTATGTTATCTGACGATCCATTTGCTAAAATATGTTACTTTTATTCAAAGTCTCTCTTATGGTCTCAATGATATTTAATGCAGGTTATACAGTATATCCAGTTTTTACAGGAGAGGTTACAGATGTACGAGGGAACCTATCAAGGTTGGAGTCCAGAGCCCACAAAGTTGATGCCATGGGTAAATTTTATATGATCATTTTGTTCCCTCTGTTAATCTTAGTAATGTTCACTGTGACTCTTTCTCTCTCATATCACATACTGATACATTAGCTAGAAGGGAAATGATTAAGGCTACATTGATTCTCTTTCTTGTATCATTTATAGGTGTTTTCACATCATGGAATTGTCGAAGAGAGTGTATTGTATAATGCTTTTGCCATTACTTCAGTTTCATGTTTTATTAAGTATAAAGCTTAAGCAAGTACTAACATGAAAATGTGCATCTCATGTCGAAGTTAGTTAGGTTTATGATGTTAAATTTTCTCTTGAAGTCATGAGGAGAACTCGTTAATCAACAATCTTTGTATAAGGGAAAATAAACACACTTTGTAATGTAGTAATTTATGATGAACTAAAAAAACAAAAAAAGTGAGAGGATTGGAAATGTCTATTTTATTTTGACACAGAAGAAATTCAACAACGACCTCTCATCCTTTTGCTACAGAGAAGCAATTCTGAGCTAGTCGGAAGCTTTATAGGCCAATCTCAACTTGCTAGGAACGGAACAGATCATGAAGATAACTATATTATCAATCCAACAATGCTTAATCATGCACAAAACTCAGTGGAATCTGACTCGAGTGGAGACATCTTATGTAAACCAACAGAAAGTCCACATGTGGCACCGAACGACACAATTCCTCTTAACATTCCTCTGCAGTCAAATTTGTTCGAAGGTGTATCTTGCCAACCTTCTCAGGGATCTTATTTAGACGCAGAGCAATTGACACCTCAGTCACAATCCCAATTTTGGTTGGGGAAATCATGTGCAAATGAGTCATCAGTTCCTATCTACATTCCAAATGAGGATGAAGAGCTGAAGAGTGAAAGTGGGGAAGCTAGCATCTCAAGAACCTATTCTCAAGGGTAAGCATTGAAAAGTAAAAAAAAAAAAAACAGTGATTATTTTGTACCACATTTGCATGCTAGTGCTGTTTAATTTTGTTTGATCAGATTTATATTTGTTCTCTTGGTGAAGAAAACTAGTAAATTGGCTATGCGCTGCACAAGATTTGAATACTGGGAAACAGCAGAGAAATGCAACATATTACATCTCTCATGACTACGGAAAAACCCATTAACTTTGGTTACTAGTATAAAGCAAGTTTTCTTGGATCTCCATACGTAGCATTTGCAACCTTGTTCGTGTTTGATGACTTTGTATTTTGGTTGGCATGATCAAACCAAATTGCATTTTCCTTTTCCTTGAAAATTACGTCAAATGTTTGAAACTTGCTAGGGAACATGACATTTATGATGGTGATGGCATAGGTGGTCAGATTTTTGGAATGTAGGGAATTTATCCCTAAACGCATATTTTCATCACATCTATACCTGTTAGAGGCCTGTTTCGCCTGATCAAATGATTTGAAGGTTGAATTTCCTTCCATATGGTAGTTCCTCTTGATTTAAGTTATGGACTCATGGCAATTCATTGTTAAATGATCAGTTAACTTCTATCGGTGACAGTTCTGAAGTTTTTTATGCTCATGAATCATTGTTTTTAATAATTATCTGAACGTTCTTTTATAATACAGTGGGGTTTGGTCGTTGAACAGGTTGTTGAATAACCTTACCAGTGCGCTGCAATCATCTGGTGTAGATTTGTCCCAAGCCAGTATTTCTGTGCAACTTGATATTTGCAAGCTTGCAAATAGTGGTAGTACTGCTACCGTGTTCAGTGCAAAGGTTCGTTAGCTTTCTTTATTTGTCTTTCTCTGCTCTATTTGGTTTGTGGATTTTCTGAGACAAGGAGAAATAAAATGAGAGAGGGAAATAACTTCCCTTTGATCCGCTTACTTATAATTGGAAGTCCAACATTTGCCCAAATTTGTGTGATTTATGATAATTATTGTTGTATGGAAATTTTTTAATAGTTTATAGATATTGCAAAGCTCTTAGGGTATTCCTTGCTTCTAGCTCCCATTTAGTACACCATCTCCGGTTTCTTTTTCTTATTCTTTCTTTTCTGTAATCGTGCAATAATAAAATACTTTCTTTTGGATCTCCTTTAGTGTCCTTAAAATTCCTTTCAATTCTTGTCTCTGGTCTCGCAGGATTATGCTCCTTCATCTGGTGAAACTTTATACAACATTTGTTCATATTTATGGTTTTATCCTGTTACCTTTGTACTATCTGTCAGATATTTTGAGGCCTTTTCTATGCAATTTAGGGTTTGTTTGAGCCCCATTCTTTGGGTAAATAGATTTTGTAATAATAGTTTTTTGGAATGTGTGGTTAAAAGTAGAGAAAAGTTTTGAGTTTACATATAAAACCATTTTATTGGAAGAATGTGTGATTGAAAATGAGTTTGGGGAAAATGAGTTTTTTAAAGAATGGAGCTCAAATAGGGGTTCAGTCAGAAATTCATATTTTAGTGTATTTTGAAGAAAAACACTAGTTGCTTATTGTTTTTTACTTTTCTGATCATTCAGGATCACGAGAACCCATCTGGTGTTAATTCTGCAGATTTTGGGGATATTGATGAGAATTATGTCCATCCTCATAAAAGGCCAAGGGTAGAAAGGAGCTAATGGCATTTATATTTGAAAGTTCTGTCCTCAGTAGTTCCATATTTCCGTCTTTCCTGTTCTTCGGGGTTGGAATGGAGTAAGAGGATAAACAGTTTTACATCAGACAGTCCTGAGTCCACAAACAGCTCTTTCTGGACAAAGTGTACATGCCTTGCCTTTTTGAGGTGCCCGGATTTGTCTAGAATCAGCTTACATATGTTTTCTTCAGTACTTGCTGGATAAAAGCTTCCACTTAATTATGTGAAGCTGCCTCTGATGAAGATTTTACCATGGAAGTTTATTTGTGCTTGTTTTGTTCTTGTTGCATTTTTCATATGAATGTGTTGCAAGCATATTTGTGTTTGTCATTGTGATTTCATTGGGTATGACATTACAATTTTTGTATAATGCACGTCTTCTCTGTCTTTCACCTTTTCAAAAATAGATAAAACAAAGCTTTAGCCCAATTCTGAGGGATTGCTCAATTGGTCAGGCCTTAGGTTTGCTCCCCAATGGTTACCAGTTCGAGTCTCCTTAGAGCCACTGAGGTGAGTATCCGACCGTAAATTTCAGGGCCCCGTGGAATTAGTCGAGGTGCGCGCAAGCTGACTCGTACATCCACAGTTATAAAAAAGAAAAAAAAAAAGCTTTAGCCCAATTTTGTTAAAAATGCAGTGTTTGGTTGATATGGCATTAGTTGTTGACTTGTATCACATTTAATTTAACTACTTGTTACACTAATTTTAGAACATATAAGTTTTGTAGTTCAAACTTTTAAAAAACTATTACATATGGTTGTAATATAACGTTCATGACAATATTTTTTTGGAAATTTTTTTATATAACCAATTTAAAAAAAAAATTAAATTCCAATTACTACGACATACGATTTATTCTCAAATTACTTCATAGTATAATTAATATTTCAATTCAAAAATCATTGATTACAATTCCTCAAAAGTCGGACACTAAATATCATGTTTAATACTTTAAAAAATTATATTTAATTGACACCAAGTACCTCCATGATATATGGAATCGGAATACATTAGAAAATTCACAAATTTTATTTTTTGTTTTTACCTGATTCAATAGGAGCATACTACTGTTGTATCTCTATTTTCTGTGATTAAAGGTATTATTTCTAAAGATGATGCTACATGTACTGAATTTTTTTACCAAATTTTGTCAGAATTTTTAAATACACGCAAATTCCGCACATTATGTGAGAGGGGGTAATCCATTATGTATAAATGGGTTAACCCTATTTCTAAATCTATGGTTTTTGTTTTTGTTGTTACATTCCATTATTTATTGCAGTTGACTCGAAATTTTGTCTATTTGATGTTTAAATATTGTAGACTCGGGTAATTGAGGAATCAATTGTGTTATATACACATAATGGTTTACATGCACAGGATGTTATGAGATATAATTTGGTCAAAAAAAATTCAACAAAAAAAAAAAAAAAATTCCAACAATAAATTTTAAATTTGAATGTGATTAAAATCTTGTATATTCAAAAGTAGTTCAAACTTTAAAAAAACTATTACATATGGTTGTAATATAACGTTCATGACAATATTTTTTTGGAAATTTTTTTATATAACCAATTTTAAAAAAAATTAAATTCCAGAATTACTACGACATACGATTTATTCTCAAATTACTTCATAGTATAATTAATATTTCAATTCAAAAATCATTGATTACAATTCCTCAAAAGTCGGACACTAAATATAATGTTTAATACTTTAAAAAATTATATTTAATTGACACCAAGTACCTCCATGATATATGGAATCGGAATACATTAGAAAATTCACAAATTTTTAATTTTTGTTTTTACCTGATTCAATAGGAGCAAACTACTGTTGTATCTCTATTTTCTGTGATTAAAGGTATTATTTCTAAAGATGATGCTACATGTACCGAATTTTTTTACCAAATTTTGTCGGAATTTTTAAATACACGCAGATCCCGCACATTATGTGAGAGGGGGTAATCCATTATGTATAAATGGATTAACCCTATTTCTAAATCTATGGTTTTTGTTTTTGTTGTTACATTCCCTTATTTATTGCAGTTGACTCGAAATTTTGTCTATTTGATGTTTAAATATTGTAGACTCGGGTAATTGAGGAATCAATTGTGTTATATACACATAATGGTTTACATGCACATGATGTTGTGAGATATAATTTTGTCAAAAAAAAATTCAACAACAAAAAAAAAAAAAAAAACCCTTTCTACTTTATTTTTGACATATCATCTGTATGTAAATTATTATGTAACTCCTTATGTACAAGTTTTAATATTCCTGCAGAATTGTGTAAAGATGACCATCATACAATCTGAAATAATATGTCGCATAAGCTGATACGTTTATATGTATATTTATGACCATATCTCTACTTTTGGAAATTCACATGATGCATCATCACATGTTGGATTACTGCAAATAATTTAAAACGCGTTACAATGTTTATATTTGTCTCTTTTATGCAATGTTGTTGCCATTACATCCCCCCTTGTACACACCTTCTGTCACACTATGGGAGCGGTCATGCTTGAAGTCGTTACCTTAATAGTGAGGGGAATGTTGAAGGTAGGGCTAGTAATTGAAATGAAGTCATAACAAGGTAGCCGTATTGGATGGTACGGTTGGATCACCTGCTTTTTAGGGAAAACTAATGTTTGTTGGGTATTTTGATTTGACCATACTTCACGCCCAAAACAAAAAAGAAGAGAACTACTTCTGAGTTAAACTTGGAGATGGAAGTCTTCTTTCGTTTCTCGATATTGAAGTAACACAGAGCTCATAAACGTATTATCCTATGAAATCATATTTGTTGCATATGCAATATAATGCACTATGTGATATATGGGGAAAAACCTGAAGAATATGATAGCTCGAAAATAGTAGTTGCATGAAATTTATATGGTGATGCATCTCGTATGTTAAATGTTACATTTGATGTATGTTGTTATTGATGATATTTTACAATTTATTGACGATTATATGTTACTACTGTGCTACATTAAGTGATGTTTATGCTACAATGTCATTTTATAAAAGAAATATGACACGTTACATAACTGGTAACAAAGGCAATTTTGATGGCAAAAGAGGCCAAAGAGCCAGTTTATAGAAGAACTTTAGCTAAAACATATTCGTGATCCCACTTTCATTTCAGTAATGCATAGACGATAATAAGTTTAAATGGTCAATAAATGACAGCTCAAATACAAAAATACAAAAAGAACGACTTTAGGTGAAATAAGATCGTCTGTAAAATACACTTATTTCTTTGTTTTGTTTCCAAGTACTACTAGAGAATGGCCATAACTTAAATAAATTCGAATTTTAGACATCAATTTAAGATCTAGCCACAACACGAGGGAACTTCCTTCCCTTACTTTCGTTGAGATCATACATAAGGTTCTCAAGCAACTCATAGTACTCATTCTAAAACAACATAAAAGCCAACTCTGGATTTTCTAAGGGCATATTTTAGGACAAGTGTCTAGCATTCATCCGTGTCTGATGTAATCTGAGAGAATTCGCTAATGTATGATCCTCATTTGTCAATGAAAACGTTGCTTGTGATTGATTTTGATATGACACTTGCTCCATCAACTCTAAAAAAGAATAGTAATTCACAATTTATATTCAAAATCGTCATAAAATATGAATAGGGTATCAAGGCTTGATTCTCCTTCAATAAACATTTTAAAACATGAAATTACAAAAAATATGCATAGAAAACCAAAATTCATCTTAAAAAATCAAACAATTTATTGCATAACAAACATAAATTAGCTTGATAAACTAACAAAATATAAAATAGATCAAGATGAGAATGACAATAAGTCTG